GGGGGGGGGGGGTTGGAGTACCCCGTGAAGGCGGCAGCGCGCACAGCAGTGGTCTCGTACGTGTGTGTGTGTGTGTGTATCTCTTACAGGTGTACCATAAGAGTTGTTGTTTGCGGATTTGGGCGTTTTTTTCATTTACTTACGGTTCTGCCTTCTTCGTGTTCTCTTACCACTGACGCTCCTCTCGGCAACGGTTTCTAGGTGACGGGAGCAGCCTCAACAATGAAAAGACTGTGGATAAGGGACTGTCGTAGGGTGCTGGCGTCGGGTCTGACTCTCTGTTAAATCGATATGAGTGTGTTGTTTGTTTGGAGAGCTGCGTTGTTTCTTCTTTTCAGGGCGCTCATTGCCTCCTTATCCGTGCCTTGTGAGAAGCACGGCGGAGAACATCCGCTGCCTTCGGGTCGTCCATAGCTGCCCACCACACTCTTCTACTCATTTGCCCGTGCTTCCATTTCTATGCGTCTGTGTTTCTCTCTTGCACTCAAGCACGGAGGACAGCAATTCTTCTTCTTACCTTTTCAGCCCCCCCCCCCCACCCCCTCTCTCTCTTAGCGTCTGTAGAAGGCGACCACGCTGCAGCGTATTCTTCTTTCTCATACCAATCTACACCCTTTTTTTTGTTATCATTAGTTCTTTAATCACCATGAGTTCTGCTGTTGTGCGTGCATCGAGGGAGGCAGCGGCGCAGCTGCCGCGCCACCTCTCCAAGGCGCAGGTGCGCGGCACGATGCTTGCGCTGGCCCTCGGCGCCGGCTACACCCTTCTCCGCTGCCGCCTCGTGCCGCTGTGGATCGCACGGAGGTGGTTTCTCCTCTCCGCCACTGCCATCATCATGCCCGCCTCCGCTCTTCTCTACCTCATCGACCCGCTTCGCTACCTAGGCGTGCCGCGGCGGGTGGTGCAGTCCGTCTGTCTATTCATTATGGCCTTCGCCTTCAAGGCGGTCTGCTGGGCCAACCCGCACATCCGCATGCACGTGCAGTTCGACGCGAACGTGGACGGCAAGCCGACGAGCTGGGCGGACATTCCAGACAAGGGAATCGCGCTGACGCTGAACCACACCTCCTTCTGGGACGTGTTTGAGGTGATTGGGCTGACCCCGATGTCGCACCTCCGCCGCACCCGCACGCTCATGAAGGCCTCGCTGCGGAAGATCCCCATCTTTGGCGGCTGCTTCGACCGCGTCGGCCACTTCCCCGTGTACTTCAAGTCGGACGAGGACGGCAACTTCCACGTAGACAAGGAGAAGCAGGCGGTGGTGGCGACGCATGTCGCCGGGCACCTGCGCCGTGGCGGCAACATCGTCGTGTTCCCGGAGGGGGCCGTGAACAAAAACCCAGAGACGTTGCAGACGTTCCGCTACGGCACCTTCGCGACCATCTTTGAGCACCGCATGCCGGTTTACTACTTGGTTTCCCTCGGAAATGAGAGGACGTGGCCGGCGCAGCATCCCTACGGCGGCGCCCCAGCCGACATTCGCGTGCGCATCGGTGCCTTCCCGATCGACTTTGACAAGGAGAACAGCAAGGTGGTTGCAGCGAGGCTGCAGCAGCGCATGCAGCAGGTCCGGGATGAGATGGCAGCGGAGGAGGCGGAGGCCGACGCGGCCGCCGCACAGACGAAGAAGACGAAGACCGCCGTGGACGCTGCGCAGGGGCTGCAGAGCCACGCGAAGCTCCCCGCGGCGGGTGCCGCTGCCGCTGCCGCATAAAAGCGTGTGAGAGAGGTGAATGAGAGGGACCACAAAGGCTGAAACGGGAGGTTCAGGCTGGCGGCTGAGTTCTTTGCGCGTTCTTTTCCTTTTGTTTTTGCTGCTTTTCAGCAACTACCCCCTTACCTATACCCAACTGCACTAGCCGCTTCGTCAAGCTTCTTCTTCTGTTGTTTGTGGTGCCTTCAATGCAGCCTTCTCTGATATTGAGGCGCTTGCAGCGCGGCGCGCCTGCGCAGTCAATCCGCTGTTCCCTTTTTTTTTCTTAAGCACTCCTGTGCGTCTCGGTGTTGTCGTGTGCGCGTGCTGGGTCGCCTGTACTTAATAGTTGGTAAAAGTTTTTTTGTTGATGTTGTTGGCATTTCTTCACATTGTGATGTACCATGGGACCTCTCTCGTGCTGATCTGTATTTTCTCTCGTACCTGTTTTCCTTAATACGTATACCTTCATTATCTTCCTCTCCCCCCTCCCTGTAGAGAGCTAGAACAAGTTGCTGATGTGCCTGACACACACCCGTAGCATGCAGAACGATGCCAATAGAAGCAGTAGACACTGCCGTCGTGTTCGAATCCTTTCCATTGTTGTGCCTAGCGGATGCGGGTGTTTTTGTTTTGGTATCAACTGCGCATGCGGAACCGTTGTTGCATGCGTGCTGATGTCGATAGTTGGTGCGATGGCGTGATGTACACCGCAGCGTAGCGCTGATCGGCTCTGTGGATTCTCTCTTTATTACTTCGCTCTCTCCCTCTCTCCCCCTCCGGCGATTCGAGCGGCGCTGCGGGCTCTCGCTAAACCACTCCCACCAGCGGCAACGTCCCACCCGCACTCACACACACGAGGAGCACCTCCATCTCCTGCGCAGCGAATCGCCACCTCCTTTGCGTTACTGCTGTTGTGCTCTTATCTTCATTATTTCTATTCCCCCGTCCCTTACCCGATGTAATTGCGCTTATCTTTTTAGCTGGTGTCTTTTAACAGCACTTCTCCCTTTCGACTTCTCGGTGGGTGCTTCGCCAGTCCTGTTCCTTGTTTCCCCCGACTAGCCGATACAACCTGCTCTTTTTGTCTAGTTGGTTGGCTGCGGTGTGTGTGTGTGTGTGTGTGTGCTACGACTCCGAGGGCACGTTATCGAAGCGCAACGCCGTTCTCGTGCGTTTTGGGGGCTCTCACCACCCCCGAAAGAAGAATAGTTGTAGCTGAGCGCATATATTTATATTTATATTTAACGCAAGCATCGTCCCTCCTCCCTTTTCTTTTTCTCATCCGTTTGTCTTATTATTTCTATTTCTCTCTTCAACGATGACTTCCGTCAAGCTAGGTGCCGCCCTCGGCTTCGCGGTGTGGTACCTCCTTCTTCGCATGCGGTGGGTGCCCGTCCCCCTCATGCGCGCGTGGTTCTTCCTCGTGAGCCTCTGTATTATCTTCCCCACCTCTGCCATGACGAGTATTCTCGTACAGCTGCACCGCCTCGGCGTCTCCGCCTACCACACCCAACGCCTCTGCATCGTTCCGCTGGTCTGCGCCTTCCGCGCCGTCTGGTGGCTCAGCCCGCACATCCGCATGCACATGCAGTTCGACGCGAACGTGGACGGCAAGCCGACGAGCTGGGCGGACATCGAGCTGCACCATCAGGCCTTCGTTGGCAACCACACCTCCTTCTGGGACGTGTTCGCGTTCTTGTGCATTGCGCCGATGTCGCACCTCGTGCACACCCGCACCATGATGAAGGCCTCGCTGCGGGACATCCCCATCTTCGGCGGCATCTTCGACCGCGTCGGCAACTTTCCCGTGTACTTCAAGTCGGACGAGGACGGCCATTTTGAGGTGGACAAGGAGAAGCAGGCGGCGGTGCAGGTTGGCGTCGAGGCGCACCTCAGCAGTGGCGGCAGCCTAGCCATTTTTCCGGAGGGCGCCATCAACAAAAACCCGCGCGTGCTGCAGACGTTCCGCTACGGCACCTTCGCGACCATCTTTGAGCATCGCATGCCGGTGTACTACTTCGTGCACCTCGGCGCGGAGAGGACGTGGCCGCGGTGGACGATGGTGGGCGGGATGCCGACGGACATGCACATCCGCGCTGGCCGCTTTCCGATTGACTTTGACAAGGAGGACAGCAAGGCGGTGGCGCATCGCATGCAGCTGTACATGCAGAAGGTGTACAACGAGTTGCTGACGGAGTGGGTGGGGCCGCAGGCGGTGGAGGTGGTAGTGGAGGAGGCGAGCCTCAACAAGAAGACGAGCTAACAGGAGAAGGTGTCTCTTCTCTCCGTCTCCTTTCCACACCCTTGCCGCCGTGTGTGCGTGTGTGTGTGTCTTGAGCTGTTGGTGCTCTCTCTCTCCCTCTCTGAATCGCTGGTGCTGCGCACTCTTCCTTGTGGACATATTGCTGTTGCCGTTGACGTTTGTTCTCGTTGCTTACACCGCCGTTGAACTATTACACACACACACACACGTTCTCACCGCGTGATCGCCGTTGCATCGTACGAAGAAAATACACTTACAAGCAATGGAAACAGTGCATGTGAAATCGGCTCTGTTGGCGCGTGCTCTCTCTCTCTCTCTCTCCTCCTCCGCTCTTTCGCGTAGGATCTCTACCTTCTTTTTTCTCTCTCCTCTATTGCTGCTGATGTGTCTTTTATTTTTAAAGTAGTAATCACTTACCGTAATTACACACACACACACACACACACGAAAGAAGAAGAGTTATCGTCAATATGCAGAACATCCGCAACGCAGCCTCGCATATGCCGGGGTCCTCCAGCTGTTGGCAGCGGAACTGGCCGCGAGTTTTCCTCCTCTTCGCCTTAGCCACCGCCGTGCTCTGTTTTGTGTCGATCATCACCGGTCTGATAACGGCCGTCCTGCAGCCGCGACTCGTGCTGCTCAGCATCTACTGTCTGCTGTTCGCGCTGCTCGGCTTCTCGGCGGAGCTGCGGCAGTTCGCGTGGTGCCGCCGGGTCGTGTACTTGTGGATGCGCTACTTCTACTTCCTCACCTACTACAAGGCGAGGGCCATCTTCTACATTATGTTCGGCTTTTTACTCCTGACGAGCCGCACGCTGGACATCATCGCGGCCATCGTGACGCTCGCACTCGGCATCATGATGCTGCTGGTGGCCCTCGTCGTGGACCTGCCTGTCTTCGAGGACCCACGGGAGCAGCAGCAGAAGGAGGAGGAGTACCGCAATTACTACTCCGGACCCCCGCCGAACAGCGCCGCCGTGGTGAACACGAATGCGGGCACAAACAACGTGAATATGAACACCACCAGCAACAACGGTGTGCAGGCGGACACACCGGCGCAGTTCAAGAGCGGTGCGGCCAACGCGCAGCACAACAAGCAGGCGGCGGTGGTGCCCCCCGGTGCCGCGCCCGCGCAGACGAACCACTACACGGATCACACCTACCGCGACAGCGGCGATGACGAGCCGGCGCAGCGCGAAGGAACGAGCACGTACAGCAACGTCTCTCCTAAAGCGAACCCCTACGAAACGAACAACAGCGATACCTACGCCGGGGCGAACATGTTTTCGAGCGGTGGGAGGAGCGGACCAAGCATGTTTGCGCCATCGCCGGCGACGCAGGTCGCATCACCGCCGCTGCAGGAGGCCGGCGTGACGCGCGGCGGCAACACGGAGAGCGCCATCCGCCGCGACTTCGCCGCGGCCGTCGGCTCGAGCGCGAAGGGTGATGACATAAGGTAGAGCATAAAAGTAGATGAAGAGGAATAATACGATGTCGCAGTCAACGACGGTCGCCGTCTGAGTAGTGCGAAGGAACGGGAGAGTATTCCTTTTCAGCAATAGAAATAAAGGAAAGGAAACTCCTCTTTCTGACCCTCCAACCTCGCCTCCGCAACGTCCCACGCCGCTGCGCCGTACGACGAGGCGTAAGTTAGTAGCGCTCTCACGTTGCCGTCGCTTTTTGTTTAACAATTTATTATTTTTCTTGATTTACAGACGCAGAAGAAATACGCCCTTGTCGGAATGGACGTGTACGTGACCTCCACTTGCAGCTGTTGTTCTTGTTGTGTTGATCCACCGTTGCTTTTCCATTGCTTTTTCCTTTTCTTCATTGCACGTCTGCGAGCGTTTCGCTGCGAACACATCATACAATCTTTTTCGTTGCCGCCTGCGCTTTCTTTCTCTTCTTTCCTCTATTCTCTCTATTCTCTTTGTTGCGTCTTGATGGTGACGTGGTTGGTGGGTGTGTCATGTGACTTTATCGATGCGGCGGTGGTGGCTCTTCGTGAAATCAAATATTTAAGACTCCAGAAAGGGAAGCGCACGAGGTGCGTTGGAAACTAAACGAAAGAGGAGGGAGGAGGGGGGAAGTGAGTGGCGGTGGGACGATGATGGCACATCTACTCGATGCTTACGTGTACGTGCGTGCGCAGCAGTCGTCTACGACCACATTCTTCCACCTACTCTCTCCCTCTCTCGCACACAGTGCAGACGATGCTTCGTCGCGCTCTTCCCTCTCGCTCTCTCTCTCTCTCTCTCTCTCTCGACAGCGCGGCTTTCGTATTCCGTCAGGGCATGATCCCGGCAACACTTACACCGCTCTTTTTTCTCTTATTGCTTCCTTTTCTTTTCACCCATCTGCTCTGTTGCCTCGATGCGCGGCCTACACCCGTGTTTTCTCGACTTACCCGTCGTCATCGCCGAAGTCTCTCCTTACTTGTTTCTGTAAAACATCTTGTTGTTGTTTATCGCCGTCGCTCACGCCGAGTCGCAGCGGAAGGTTTCCAGCATGAGCGACGATGACGGACCGCCGCCGGTGCACGACGCACACAGGAAGCCGAAGCACCCCCTCTCCAAGTACAGCAGGGGCTACGGCGCCAAAAAAGACGCGGTGATGACGCGCGTGGATCCGCGATTTGATTCGATGTTCGGCCGCGCCGATGCCCGCCAGTTTGAGCAGAACTACGGGTTCCTGCGCGAGGAGGCCGAGCGGGAGGAGGTGGCGCGGCGCTTCCGTGTCAAGTGCTTAAAGTGTATTATCCGCCGCTGCGAGCTGGAACAGGCGGGGGAGGACCTGGACGAGTACGACCTGTCCGACTACGAGCAGGAGGTCTTCGGCGAGGAGCATCAGCGGGAGCTGCGCGAGATGAAGCTGACGCCGCCGCAGCAGCTCTACGCGGAGCTGGAGAAGCTGCAGCGTGAATCGCAGCTGTACATCGCCCGCACCCGCGACAACGCCGCGAAGGACCGCCACTCGAGCGTGAGGAAGGAACTGTTGAAGAAGGAGGTGCAGGCCGTCAAGGCGGGCACGAAGTCGAAGCCGTACTTCCCGAAGCGCGCGGCGGTGAAGAAGGCGATGCTGGCGGACAACTTCACCCACCTGAACGAGAAGGGCGGCAAGGCGGCCGTAGATCGCTACCTCATCCGCAAGCGGAAGAAGTAGAGATGGACGTATTCCCCCTTCCCTCCTCCCTCCCCCCTCTCTGTCTGTCTGTGGTGTTGTCGCCGTCGTGTTGCCTTGATGATCCCTCTCACTGTGTGTGTGTGTGGGAGGGGGGGGGTCTTTTTCTGTCTGCTACCTTGGGCATTTGGTGTGTCTCTTTCGAGATTGCCTTTTTACTCCTCTATTGGCCTCTATTTTTCTGTGTCTGTTTCTGCTTTGTGGTAATTAACTCTGCGATTAACACACACGCGCGTGAGCGGAACTCGAAGAGATGGCTCTTCGGCGGAAGGATCTTTCACATTAACCTTCAAATAAAAAAGGAAAGGACGACAATTCATGTCTGTGTACCACTGCCTCTTTTGCTCTCAGGGACGGATCGACGGCGCTTTCTCACTCACGGAATGAATGAAAGAAAAAGCGTGGATGAGTCTGCGCCACGGCAGCTGGGGAGTGCTCATGCTAGTCGTACCAAATTGTGGTGTTGCTGCTCATGATCAACGCTCATGTCTGCGCAGCAATGTATCGCTCCTCCCTTTCTCCATTACACTTCTTTTGGTGGTGCTGCTGTTTTCGTTTATTTGGCTTCTCCTTCCCCTCAAGCTCTTTTTCTTTTTATATATTTCTTCTTGCCGATCTGCTGCGGTCCTTCGCAGCTTAAACTCCGCGCGTCGCGTCAGCACCGTCGACGTCGTGTTGCTTGCGTGGTGGCCCTTTCAGCGGACGCGTGTGGGGAAGACGCCTCCGTACAAGGTATTCCCCCCCCCCTCCTCTCTTGTCTGGCTTGGTTTTTACCGCTTTGCTTTTGCGTTTATTTTCCTCCTCTTTCGATCGCTTTCAGCATTCCCCATTGTTCGTCGTTCACCACCCACAGCGGCAAAGGCGCTAATACATATATATTTGTACATGGCAGCGCTTTCATTGAGTCGTCTTCCCCAACTGTCCGTGATTCGTGACGTCTGCGCTCCCCTCTGAGCTTTTCTCTTTCACTCCTTTGATTTTCCTCATAGTCAGCGAATCCATCGCCACCCGCCAACGCAACAGCATTCATATTGGCGCTTCCTAGCGCACTCGTACGAGAACGAAGGAGAAGGAAGAGATGCGCCTCCCGGCGAGCGACTTCGGTGCTAGCGATGTCGCGCCGCCGCTGCACGAGCGCGAGAGCTGGCTGCAGTGGTTAATTCGGACGATGCGGGAGACGGCGAACCCCAACACGATGCACACCGAGGACCTCACCCCGGTCGAGCTGGAGAAGCAGGCGAGCTTTGAGAGCCTGGACTACTACAAGCCGTACCCCGACATGTACGTGGAGTACCTACGGGAGAGCCACGAGAGCCGGCGCCATCAGTACCTCGACGCGTCTTCGGCTGAGGGTGGCTCTCGACAAGTGGCAGAAGCGGCTGTTGAGATGCCAAATCGAGTCCCGCCTGCACCCTCCTCCTCCGCCTCCGCCAGCTCACCCATGCAGCAGGTCGCCGAGAGCTTCCCGATGCTGCAGATGGACCAGGACGAGCGCCACGCCGCCCTTCGCTGGACGCTGCACGTGCTCATCGCCTTCTCCGTCGGCATCGTCGCCACTTTTGTGTCGTACGCCGTGGACTTCGTGGAGAAGTACCGGGCGGACGTGTTGTACCGTGTGATGGTGCGTGACGGTGAACACGGCATCGTGGGGATCGTGGTGGGCTTCTTCTACACGGTGCTCGGCTCCGTTCTTCTCACCGCGGTGGCGGCGGGGGTCGTCGTGTACTTCGAGCCGGCCGCATCAGGCGGCGGCATACCAGATGTGATGGCGTACCTCAACGGCGTGCACCTGCGCAAAGCGATGAACCTGCGGACCTTTCTGGCGAAGGTGATCTCGTGCATTTGTGCGGTGTCGGGTGGGCTACCGGTGGGACTCGAGGCCCCGCTGATCCATCTCGGGGCGATCACCGGCGCCGGCATGACGCAGGGCCGTAGCCGCACGTTGGGCTTCCAGACCCGACTTTTTCAGGCCTTTCGCAACAACAAAGACCGGCGGGACTTCATCACGGCCGGGGCGGCCTGTGGGGTGTCCGTCGCCTTCGGTGCGCCGATCGGCGGGTTGCTCTTCGTAATGGAGGAGGTGAGCAGCTTCTGGGATCAGAGCTCCAATGGGCAGATCTTCCTCGCCACGATGCTGTGCTTCACCTTCAGCACCATCATCAACTCCATCGTCGAGGATCGGCGGCTGCTGGGGTGGGTCTCGAACGCAGCCTCGGTGCTGTTTGAGGTGAACTTGACGATCCCGCTGAACCTCGTCTCGATTGTGCCGTCGCTGCTCCTCGGCCTTATCATCGGCTCCATGACCGCCTTCTTCACCAAGGCGAATCTCATCCTTATCAAGTGGCGCCGACGCGTGCTGCGGCCGTACCCGTTCCGACGCTTTCTCGAGCCCGTCGTGGTGGGGGCGGTCTTCTCCGCCTCCATGTTTGTGCTCTCCCTCGCCGCCCCGTGCGCGGAGGAGCTCGAGATTGACGACGTCAACGACACGATACACATCTGGGGCACCGAGGGCGCGGGCCGGCTCTTCAACGCAACGTGCGCAAAGCCCCACACCTACTCCCCGCTCGGTACGCTGAACATGGCATCCGGCAAGAACACCATCCGCCATCTCTTTTCCCGGCAGACGGCCGGCGAGTTCACCGTGGCGAACCTCCTCCTGTACTTCTTCATCTACTTTGGCTTTGCGGTTCTGTCCAGTGGCATGGCGGTGGCCGGTGGGCTGGTGGTGCCGAGTCTTGTGATGGGGGCCGTCTTTGGTCGCCTGTACGGCCTGCTGCTGTTTAAGATGGGTGCGAAGGAGGTCCCTGGCATCCCGAACAGCTACGCGACGTCGGTGGCGTGGATGGACCCGGGCTTGTTTGCCTTGATCGGCGCTGGCGCCTTCCTCGCCGGCACCTCCCGCATGACCATGGCGATTTGCGTCATCATGGTGGAGCTGTCGTCGGAGCTGCACTATCTGCTGCCGGTGATGGTGGCGATTGTCATGTCCAAGTCGACGGCCGACTGGCTGTGTGAGCCGCTCTACCATCAGATGTTGATGATGGACAGCGTGCCGTACCTTCCGCACAACATCGTGAAGCCCGAGTTTGAGCAGCTCACCGCGGCGGACGTGATGGCGAGCGAGGTGGTGATGCTACGGAAGCGGGAGCGGACGGAGACGGTGCTGGCGGCGCTGCGCGACAGCACGCATCACGCCTTCCCGGTCGTGGAGGCGGAGCTGGATGACTTAATCGCGGAGGAGGAAAAGGAGGGGGCACCGAACACAGTGAGCAGCCTCAGCGGCGGTGACCGAAAAGGAGCGCACAGCTCGTCGCCCCCGCCCAACCGCCGCGCAGCGACGTCAACCGTCAGCGCCACCGCCACGACTGCGTCAGGGGCGCGCTCGCTCGACGACCCGTCGGCGCACATCCGCTACAAATTCGTCGGCCTCGTTACCCGCGAGGACTTGCAGGTGTACTTCACGTTGCCGCAGCTGCAGGAGTACGACGCATCATTGCCTGCGCCGTCGCCGACGCCGGTGCCGCTGACGGCGGACGACAGCGACGGCTTCGGCGGCCGTCTCGCCCCCTGCGTGCTGGCGATCCGAAAGATGTCGTGGCAGCAGTGGATGGCGCAGAAAGGGAAGCTTTTTTTCACCACGCTGGACCGCTACGAGTGGGTGCGGACGCACATCCCGGACGGGGCGCCGAGCGGGGCTGACGTGGGTGCCGAGAGCGCCTCCTTCATCAGTGAGAGCCGCCTGCCGCCGGTGGTCGACCTCTCGCTCATCGTGAACCGCAGTCCATGGGTCATCCCGCCCTTCTTCAACCTGCAGATGGCGTACCACACCTTTCGCATGATGGGGCTGCGGCACATGGTCGTGGTGGACGGCGACACCGTGACGGGCATCATCACGCGCAAGGACCTCCTCGTCGACTCCCTGCGACGTCGCATGAAGGAGCTGAGTGCGCGGCTGGCCACGGCGGGCTCCGCGGCACCGTCGCTGCCGCCCAGCCGCACAAATCGAGCGTACGCCCCGCATCGCCGAGGCGGAGAAGCGGCGGCGGAAGACGGGGGCGATGCTCGTGGGCCGGGGATACACGTGTTGCGCTCGGGCGCTGGGACGGCAGCGGCGTCGCGACAGCTCCACCGGCAGACGAGCGCGCCCACGGCAGCCTCTGCGTGGTCGCGGCTGGAGATCGAAGCGGAGAGGTGGCCGGCACCGCTGGATGCTGCGTTGGGGTCCGCGGCAGCACAAGGCAACGAAAAGGATGAGGCGAGGGAGCAGTATGGTGCTCCACGAGTGAAGGATAGTAATGGCAGCAGCGGTCCTCATCAGCCGCCGTCGCACAAACTTGTATCACCGCTGAGTTTGTTGTTCGACAGCTCGTCGAGCGGCACCGTCAAGTCGGGGCCGGGGCGTGCCGTCGCGGCAGCCGACGTGGCCCCTTCTCCCTCACCGCCGCCACGCGCGATGGCGCAGCAGTCCTCCAAGGCGGGGGAGGCGAAGGATGCAGCCGCGCTACCGGCGAAGAGTGCGACGACGACACAGAAGAAGAAGCCGCTGTCGCCCGAGGCTGCGATGCTGTTTGACCTGAGCGTGGTCAAGTCGCCGCGAGAGGCGTCGCAGGATGAAGGCGGGCTTTGAATGACACGACCGCTCCTTCCGTTTCTTTCGGCGAGCGCCGGTGATGATCGTATTGTATTTTTCCTCCCCCTTCTTCTGTTTCAGCCTTTTGCGTGAGGGTGTGTTTGCTCGTTGGTACAGCGTTGACCGCTGATCGAGTTGTACTCAACGACATGAAAAAAAAAATGAATGAAAAGTACGAACAACATACACGTGCGTTTGCTGTTGTACGTCACGCAGTTCCCACGCCTCTCTTCGAAGTTTTTCTTTCTTCTGGTATTGCACCTCGCACTCCTACGCGTTGGTGAGAACGTAAGCGGACAATGCGGACAAACGAAGATATTAGTAGCGAGCGTGGCGCGTGGCGTTGGGCGATGGTCCCATTCACGGTCTCTCGGTAAAGAGAACAAAAGGTTCATGTACAGTGGCCGAGCGGTACTACAGCGGGTTCTGAGTATCGCGGAGTCTGCCGTTGCCATTCCGTTTCGTTTATTACTATTATTATAAACCCGCTATCTTGTCCAACACCATTCTCTTTTGGGTTTCCTTCATTGGTGTGAAATAGCTTGAAGGACAGCAAATACGTGCTGTCACGCACATTGATTTTCCTCTTGTACTATTTACTGCTGTGTGTGTGTGAGCTACTACCAAAGAGACTCAATAAGTACTTACAAGAAAGAAAGAACTCTATATCCTTTCATTCAGCCGTAATGTCATCTGACGCCGACCTCGATGCGAAGCTGACGGAGCTGCTCCGAGTCATGGTGAGCCGGCTGCCGCCCAACAAGAAGCTGCCGACCGCCGTGGTTCAGCAACTCCTCCGCACCAAGTACGGCGAAACCTACTCGGAGGCGTACGTGCAGAGCCACGAAGCCTTCATCGCCGATGCGATTCTGCAGCTGGCGATTGCGAAGGAAAACGCGGCTGCGGTGGTGAAGCACAACGACTCGTCGTCGGTGTCGTCCTCCTCTGCGGCTGCGTCGGACGACGACGATGCGAGCGACGATGAAAGTGACGAGGACAGCGATAGCGGGGAAGAGGAGGAGGAGGAGGACGCCGCCGAGGACGAGGAGGTCAGCGCGGACTCGGAAGAAGACGACGAGGGCGATGATAACTCCACAGATGACGACTCTGATTATGACGACTCCGATGACGATGACGCCGCGCCGGACCGCAAGAAGGCCCGTCAGGAGGAGCTCGACGCAATTACGCGGAAGGAGCAGCGGCAATCGCAGCAAAAAGAGTCCACAAACGGCGAGGCGGCCGGGAGTAACGGCACGACGGTGACGCTGGCGGAGCGCTGCAAGGCGATGGCGGAATGTCTGCGAAAGCTGAGCTACCGCGTGCGTGCCCCGAGCGAGTCCGAGACGCTCGAGGAGTACCTTCACGGGTTCCTCATCGCGGAGTTCAAGAAGCACGAGATGGACCCCGAGAAGTTCAGCAAGTCCGACATCAAGCGCTACCGGATCAAGCGGGAGGTGGAGCTGCTGCAGCAGGATGGCGCGAGTCTCTCGTTGGACCGGCGCAACCGGGCGGGCCGCGGCTTCAGCAATGTAGTCATTGCTCCTGACGGCGGCGCACAGGCGGCCGCCGCTGCGCCGGCGATGGTGGCCAAGCAGACCTCGATGTTCCTTGACGACGAGTGAGCGCGACCCGCTGTGTTGCAGCGCGCAGGGTCGTTTTGCACCTCCTTTATTTTTCTTCTTGTGTGCGTGCGTGTTTGGGTGTGCTTGTTTGGTACGGACTGAGCCGTGAGGCAGTCGTTGCGCCAACACACCTACGCACACACACATGGCACACACATATCCATAGATCACGTTGAGCTTCCTTTGGAGACGGAAGAACATTGTAGAGAATGAGGCATATGCGGAGCAGGTCGCTGATGTGGCGCGCTGTAAAACTAAGAACTATTATTTAAGCGTATCGCTACCGGTGTCTCTGTGTGCGTGTCTGTGTGGGGGCGGGGCGGGGGGAGGGGGGATCCGCTTCTTCCTGCCGACCTCTCCATCGCACCGATCGATTCCAATAGCTGCATCCGTCTCTCGCCGTATGCGATGCCGTTTGAAGCGTGAAAAAAATATCACGGAGCACTCTTGTTGTCGTTGCCGGCCGTGAGCTTTCTTTTCTCTTCGGTTCTCCTACAGAGGCGACTCGTTTACTGCGCAGCAGCGCACGCGTGATGGACGGGCGAGAACACCAAGCAAAGGAAATTCAAACGCCAGGGATGATGCGTCTCTCCGGACAACACCCCCCGTATCCCTAAGTCGGGGTGCCCTTTGATGCCGCGACGTCGGCCACTCGCCCTGTCGTATTTCTTTCTTTCCCCTCTCGCCTGTTTGTTCTCTTCTGCTTATTGCTGCCGGGTCGTGTTGGGGCGGCAGGTATCACGTGCTGCCGCACACAAGAACACAGAAAGGAAGCACTCGAGGCAGCGCCGTAACCATCGAGCCCTTCTTTCTCTTACGTTGCGGCAATCGAGCCGGACCAGTGTACAGCACCCTTTTTTTTTTCAGAAGTCCGAGGAACATTCATAGAAGGTAAAGACATTTTTTATCGATAGAAAGAGAGAGGGAAAGATATTGGCCAAGTGCATGTCGTCTGCATCCCGGCATCACGACGACGGCGACGAGGCAGCGCCACCGCGGCGTCCATGGCTGCCACGTCCGCCGGGGCTTTCGACCAGCACCAGCAGCACCTCCGCAGCAGCACCGTTAACGGACCTCCTTGATACGATGCCGATGGGCGGGGTCGACACGTCCGCACCGCACCACCTCGACGGTGGACTGTGCGACACGCAGGAAACGCAGGAGCTGCTCGACAACTTCTTTGCGCTCTACGCGTCACCCGATCAGGGCAGTGCGTCCGCGCCTTGCGCCGCCCGCCCGCAGCACCGACAGCGTCTGCCGCCCTTGGATGCGGAAGGTGAAGTGGCGGAGGAACAAAGTCCACGCCGCGGTGACGAGGCAAAGAACACGCCCTCCGAACACGACGGTGAGGACGAGGACGAGGAGGGGCCGGTGGGGCGCACGGACGGCCACCACGCGCAGCAGTCGCAGTACGTCCCGGTCGAAGAGGAGGACGAGGAGGAGGACAGCAATGACGTTGACAAGGAGGACACGGTGATGCCGCCGTCACGTCCGTCGTTGGCCAACGGCTTGAGCGCCGCAGCGGAGCTCGACGGCGCCGCCAACTCACGAAGTCCTCCTCCGCCGACATCATCCACAACGCTGTCTGCCTCTTCTCTTGAACAGCAATGCAAACCTGCTGAAAGTGTGTTCTGGCCTTTTGCTCACCCCCCGCCCTCCACCGCGCTGCCCCTGGACACCCAAACCCGCGCAGCCTTCCACACCAGGCGGTACGGCGCCTTCATCAAGGCCTACCTCGGCCTGTCCGACGAGGAGGTGCGGCAGGCAGAGCGGCGCGGGCGTGGCATCTGCATGATCGGTGTGCGCCGGGTGGCGCGGCACGGGAAGGCCAGTGCGGCATCGCCCATCAGCTATTCTTTCGCCAGTCCCCGACTCATGCCCACGTGCAACGGCGCTGCCGGCGACTTCCCGGCTCACCCGTTCCGCTGTGTGCGGCCCAGCAACGCCGACCCGGTGCGCACGCAGCGTGTCTTTCTTCGCCACTCCGTTCTGGCGGTGGAAGGCGATGCAGTGTTCTGTCAGCTCATCGACCGCGCCGAGACGCTTTACGCGGTGGAGCAGCAACGGATGGAGGACGCGGCGGCCGCGGTGGCCGGTGCCGCCCTCCACCGCAAGGACGACGACAAAGACGACAGCGGCGATTTCAGCACGGAGGGTGGCACCAACACAAAGGCCAAAAGCGAAGGACAGCCTGCCAAGGATCTCCACGGCAGGCCAACGACCGCGCCGGGGATGTATCCGCAGTTTCGCCGGCTGCCGCGAGTCACGGAGCCCTACCTGCGTCCGAACGCGCGCTGCATTGCGCTGCACTACGGGCTGCCCGACCACCACAACTCCCTCCCTTCCTCCTCAGCCAGCAACACGAACGCAGCGGCTTCACCGCGGCGGGGAGCTGAAGGGGCGGGGCAGACGGAGGCGTCGGCGACCACGTCTACTACTACTGCTACGACGACTGATAGTTCAGAGGAAACGTGTTTCCCCCGTGCGACTCTCATCGCGGTGGTCAGCACCACCCGCCTCGAGGAGAACGGGGAGATCTACATCTCCATGGACTCCTACTACCGCTGCCTAGACGAGATTGAATGGTACCGACGCTGCTACCGCCACTTGAATGAACGCTACGGATGCAGGGCGTCTCTGGAGCTGTCACGGTGCAACACACCTACCTCCTGCTGCCCCACAACGGCCCCGAGTACGGAGCTGCACGTCGCAAATTCAAGCCACAGTGCTCACACCTCCACAGCGGGCACGGGCGACGTGTACACGGGTGTGAAGCACTTTCCTGCCTGGCCGGCCGAGCTCGCGTTCTACCACGGCGTAGGCAAGCGTCACGCCAGCCGCGTCGCGGAAGGTGCGTTTCCCTTCACCCTGGTCGAACTCGGTGCCGCGCCGGAGCTGGGGGACGGCCAGAAAGGCGTGGTGGCCTCGTCGTGGATTCCGTATGGGACGTGTCTGCTGTACTGCGGACCCGCCGTCGCCACGCGCAAGGTAGAGAAAGTGGTGACGTCGCGCGTGTTCCACGGCAGCGCCGCGTCACCCAACCCGGCAAGAGCTGCAGGCGACGGCGGCGGTGTCAAGGCGGTGGTCGGTGCTGCCGCGGCTGAGGGGCTCGACGAGGACGCAGAGGAGGACCTGTCCTTTGTGACGGACGACACGTACGCGCTGGGCCTCGGCAGACACGGCGTGTGCTTCGGCCAGGGTCTCACCCGCTACATCAACCACCGCTACAACACCTCGCGGTTTGGCAATGTCGAGCTCTGCTCCGTCATGCTGTCGGTGCCCAGCGAATTCAGCACGGAGGGAGGCGGTGGCAGCGGTGCTCAGAAAAGTCCCCCGTCGGACGGCGCCGCCATCCTCCCCTCTGATCCGACCCTGACGGAGGAGGAGAACACTCGACTTCGATTCACGGTGCGGAAGCAGCACGGGCGCAACAGCGGTGGTGGAAACGCGCGCTCGGCGGATGTCTCCGCGACAGCAGCAGCCGCAGCTGCACCGCCCCGCGGTAAACGCAAGCAGGCCCCGCTCCGCCGTGCGCAGCGCTTCTTTCTGGAAGAGAAGAGCTTCTTCGTGACGGTGCCGTTTTTTCTGGTGACGACGGACATCCCGCCCGGGGCGTCGCTGCTGGCGTGGACCTACGGCGAGGACTACGACGCGAAGTTGGAGCGACAGGCCGTGGCGGAGGGCCACATCGTCCCCTACGCCGACGCCGCCGTCCTAAACCGCCGTCTCACGACGCCGTCGCCTGGTCGAAGCCTGCAGCGCTACGGCGGCGATTACCGCTTTGCCGTGGGAGCGGGGGACGTCGTGTGGCGTCGACGCCCGCTGCTGCCGTCGTCATCGTCGTCTGTTCTGTCCTCTGCCTTCTGCGCCGGCGGTGCGGCGTGGCTGGTCCCGCCGCCGGAGGACGACTTATTTGTCATTGTGCAGACACAGCGTGGCAGCGTTGAGCAGGTGCTGCTGCAGCCCCTCGTCCGTGTCGAGCTGACCGATGCAGCGCTGGACGGCCTGTTGCGGGAGCAGCACCTGCTCGACTACGTCTCCCCGCACGTCTCCTCCAGCGCGGCGGACGGGAGGCGTCAGCCGCATCGAGAGGCCGGAAGAGGCGGACCGCGAGGAAGGGCGGCGGCGGGAGGGAGAAAAGGCTATCGGCGCGTCGCACCGGCCTGGTCGCAGCACTGGGCGGTTTTCGAGTTGCCCGACAGCGCCATCGCGGGTACGTCGGCGACGCTGTCGCTGGCACGCGCCGAGGACGCGCTGCGGCGGTGCTGCGTGGCCACCGTGGAGAGCGTGGGGCTGCTGCAGCCGGATATCGACTACAGCGTGGTGCATTCGAAGCGGCCGGAGAGCGGCGGGAGCGGCGGGCGGGGGCGTCCGGGCCAGAAGGGCGGCGGACGGCGAGCGCGTTTGGTGTTGGACACGCCGCGTCAAATTGTCGTCAACTTAGACGATTTACACCACGCGACCCACCTCGTGCGAGCGTCGGCGGAGAGGGCAACGGCGGTGCCGGTGCTGCTGAACGGACTTTTGTGGCCGCTGTTCAGCGCCCACGTGGAGCGCAGCAGCGGCAGCGGTGGCGGCGGCGGGCCCGTTGGCTCGAACGGAGGGGGTGGTACGATTCCTGTAAGGTGAGCGTGAGTAATGCACCGCATCTCTCTCTTATTCTTCTGCTAGTTCGGTTGCTTGGCGGCTTCGTTCTTCTAGTGATGATGCCTTATAATTAATATTACTACGGTGGACGCGGTGCTCGTGCATGTTACTCTGCTTCGCTGCTGAGTTTCCGTCGTCACAGCAGCGACGGACGACGGTGGCAGACAACCAAGACCAGAGAGAGAGAGAGAAAGATGTTGTCTTGATGATCGAATACATTTGGGCGATGGAAGCAACGAATACTCGCAGACGGAAAAGGCGCTCCCACGCCGCGCCGCTCCCCTCTTGACCTCCCCCTCTCTCCCTCTCTTTCTATTTCCACCCTTCCAGCCAGAGCATGACGGTCACCCCGTGGTACTGCCGCTACGGCATTCACGGCGACGTCGCACGACACACGAACATCGATGGCACTGCCCTCTATCGAACGCGCGAGCGTCCCTGCGACTGCGCGCCACCGCCGCCGCGGCCCGTGTTGCGCAGACCACTGCAACCGCGTCGTCCCGCGTCTGCCACAGCGAGTGGCCAACGCCGCCCGCGCGGACGTGGGCGAACGGGACGGCCGCCCTTCCAACTCCCAAGTCAGCAAGACAACCTCGCCAGTGCACCTGCGCCGACGTACCTGAACCAACCCTTGACGTTTTATGAAGGCGGACTGCGCGTTGTGGTTCCACCCATCACAGTCGAGTCGAGCGGCGGCGGCGCGGACGACCTGCGAGATTCCTTGTCCCGCCTGATGCTCAGCTCCGGCGGAGGGGCGATGAACTGTTTGCCTGCTTTACCTTCCATTCCGGTTGTGTGGCCCCAGCCGGACCTCGCCGACCTGCGCAACGACGTGTCTCAGCGGAACGGTGCACCAACCACGCCTGCAGATGCTTTCTATGGCCGCTACCCAAACACAGCTGCATCCACGCTTGCTGCTGTTCCATCGGAAAGCCGTGTTGCGTCTCCCTTCGCTGGAGCAACTCCGCCTCCTCCTCCGACGGAAGCTCCCACCGCCGCCACAGGAGTAGATGCAGATCCGCCTTATCCCCCCTCCGCCCCCGTGCCGTCTGGTTTGTGTTCGCCGACGCGACACGCGCTGCACGCACGCTGGGGCATCTCCTTCTGTTCTGTGTGCGGCCTGCCTCTGACTTCGAAAGCAACGCCGTATACGCCGGTGACGTGTCCGCTTGGCCCGCACCTCCACAATCAGCAGACATCATCATCTCCCACGACGACGCAAGACGACGGTAATGCAAACGCAGATAACTTTTGCATGCTGTGTGGAACCGGCTTGAAATCCCCCGTGGATGCAGCGACAGCGGCGGCGGCAGGTGGTACCAGTTCGCGTCCTCCAGCAGAACCTGGGGTGAACCAGCCGCCGCTACAGCAGTCGGCGCTGCACGCAGACTTCCTCACGCGACGGGACATGCAGAGCGTCGACGAGATCATGGCACACTTGCTGGACAACGCTGCGATGCATGGAGGAAGAGTGCAGCCACCGTGTGGACTGCCCAACTGCCGCCTCTGCGAAGGTGTTGCAGGCGCCACCGATGCATCAGATGCGCTAGAAAGGTGTAGAAGTGGGTGCAGTAAGCAGGGCAACAAGTGGTGGGGGTGGGGTGCGCCAGCCATGTGCGGCAGCCCTGCGGTGGCCATCATCCACAATCATTACTACAGCTGAGCTTATCTAGACTTCATTAGAGTTAGTTTGTTTCTTTGTTTTATTCCTTTGCTACTGATTAGATTAGATGCACTATATCCTCTCTTTCCTCCTCCTCTTCCTTTCCATTTTTTTTTGTTTCTCCGATGTCAGCATCACCGGCGAACACGTCGAAGAAGCGAAGTCGCATGAACGAGCGTGAGGCAACGTACACGCTTGCGCGCCACGACAGTTGTTGTTATTGCTGTTGCTGACGCGAGCTGATCACGACGAGACGAAAGACTCTCTTTTGTTAGAAGAATAAGCAGGACGGAATCGAACATGGTGACCCGTGGATCCCCCTCCCGAAAGTGAAGAGAGTCTATATATATATATATATATATATGCTCGATGTGAATTGCGTGTGTCTCACTCCCTCCCTCTCGCTTCCCCTTCGCCTTCTCTCACCTCAAGCGAGGAAACCCGCGCCAAGACCGCGAAACCAGCAAAAAAGGCCTCCTCCGTCCCCCTCTTTACTTGGGGGTTTTCTCTACAAATAGAAATGCCCTCCGCCACCAAGCGGGCGTATCGATGCTCGTGGGAAATCCCGTACGACTTCCACCCCCGCATCCGCCCCTACCCCGGCGTGACAAGTGTGGTGCGCGCGTACATGGATGGTAAGAAACCAGCCGCCGCGACTGCTGCAGAAGGTCAGGAGCCGCCGCCCCACGAGGGGCGAAGTGATCAAAGAAAAGCGAAGCATCACATGAAGTTCCGTCACTATCGGCTCCGCCGCTCGCCGACCGCGAAGCTCGAGGCGGCCGTTGCGCACGCGCTAGCAGATGGGGACCGTGATGCGCCGAAGGAAAAGGTGCCGGCAGCACCAAACACCAATACAGCGCCGCAGCCGCCCTCGTTGCCCTCCGCACCGCGGCCCTCACGACGGCGGCCACCTCGGCGTGCTGCCCACCACCCCAACACCAAACCCGCGGATACACCGTCCAAGGCAGCCGCAGCGCCGCGCGATAACGTGGCGACGCCATCAGGGGAGGACAGAAGTGACCGCCCACAACCGCCAGCAGAGGCCCCAGCCGAGACAGCTGCACGTCGACGCCCCGTAGCTCTCCCTTCCCACTTTACACCCTTCAGGCGAGAAGCACCGGCGGAGGTGTCCTCTGCGCCGTCGAGCGTCGTCCCCGTCGCACAAGCTCCCATCGCCCCATCACCGCTGCGGCCATCCCCACCCACGCACACGAGCAACCGATGCCGCACGAAGCCGCGTTACACGCTTCCACCGTCGTACGCGTCGCAGCTTCGATCCTTCGCAGCTCAGCCGGTGCCCACCGTCGCCGTGCGAGACCTTTCTGCCTCCCCGCTTCCATCGTCACGTGAGATACGCGTGTCTCCGCGCCGCGTACGTCACGCCTCTCGCTACGGCTTTGTGCAGGAGCTTCTCCAGTGCATCCGGGCACAGGGCAACAACAGGGGCGATGTGCTGCCACACGCCGTGCTGGACAACTACCTCGACACGCGCGACGCCCACAGCTTCGACGCAGCAGCGCACAACTATAGTACGGTGTTGCCGGACGCATTGGAGGAGAGCGTGGCGGCGCGGGCGGCGGCTCTGCAGGCGACGGAGCAGCGCATGTGGGCTCGTTTTGTGGTCCACGTAGCCCCGCTGGCGGTCGCCCACGCAGAGGCGGTCGGCGCGGGCGGGGTGTCGGTGATCGACAGCGGCCACGTTAGCGATCCCATTTACGTATCACGCGAGCCTGACATCCTCGCCGCGTATCCCAGTCACATGAACGAGGAAGAGGAAGGGGGGGACGCGTACAGCAGCGAAGGCGACGACGAGGACGACGATTTGGGCGAGGAGATGGCGGTGGTGGTGCAGCCGTTTATGGACGAGGTGCCGGCGACGCAAGAGGACGTGCGGCTCAGCGAGCGGCACCGCTGCTGGCCCAAAGGGCGGGAATGGGATCGGCAGACGGCCATCCGCGCCGCTGTCGGCGCCACCGCGCAGGAGGCACTGCTCGATCTCGGGGTTGACCCGCGCTACCGCCGGCCTGGGGACTTTCTGCTGCAGCGGAACCGGGCTCGATAAGCGAAGGAGTCGACGCGGGCAGGGCAACCTCTCTTGTTTGTTGACGTAGAACTATATACGTGTACTTGTATAGATTTAGAACCTCACTTCTCTTCCCTTTTGTTGTTGAGTGTGTGTGTGTGTGTGTGTGTGTCGTGCTGACTCGACGATGCGTCTGCTTGTTCTCTTGCTTGCTTGTTTGTACCAGTGCCTCTCCTTTTCCGCCTTCTTTATTCTTCTCAGAGTGAGATGCAAAGGCAGGTGGAAGTCTACCGTCGTTGGTGCGGCTTTGATGCACGCAGGGACGCTACGGTGGAGAGGAGGTCACTCGAATGCGGAATCTGAGTTACAGAAGGGGAAAACAAAGAAGCCGGTGCCGCGAGTGCAGCAGCCTCTTCGACGGAAGCATGGGCGGAGGGGGAGGTGTCGCCTCTGCTGTGTCTCGGCGTTCTTTTTCTCTTCTCATTGTGCAAGGCTTTCCTTTTTTAGAGAGAAAGAAGAAATGAAGGCAAAGGAGAGCCACGAAGCCATCGCAAATGTCTGCTTCCATCCGTCCCCCCTCCTTCGTTCGTTTACATCTCTCTCTCTCTCTCTCTCTATATATATATATATATATATGCTTTTCAATTCTAACTGATACAATAAACGCCTTCGCCATTTACTGTTGGTGTCCTCGAAGGAACGCGGCTATCGACGCTGCACCCTCTCACCCTCTCGTCCACGCATACACACCACACTCGCCAACTGTTATTATTTACTTCTCGTTTCTCTTATACACGGACTTTGCAATTGAAAAGAAGAAGATGTCTGATGCAACGCCTGACACGCCGCCGAAGGTGTTCTTCATCCTCGGCGGACCGGGCTCTGGCAAGGGCACCAACTGCGCCCGGCTCGTGGAGGACTTCGGCTACACGCACTTCAGCACCGGCGATCTCCTGCGTGAAGCCGCGCGCAGCGGCACGAGCGATGTGGCGAAGAAGATAGCCGAACACATCCGCGCCGGCCGAATCGTGCCGAGCGAGATTACAGTGGAGCTGCTCCGCCAGGCCATCGCCGACCATCCGAACCCGATCGGCTACGTCATCGACGGCTTCCCGCGCAAGGCCGATCAGGCCCGCATGTTCGAAGAGGGCATCGCCAAGGCGAAGGGGATTCTCTACTACGACTGCAGCGAGCAGACGATGGAGGACCGCCTGCTTACACGTGGCGCAGACAGCAGCGGGGCGGAGAAGCGGGACGACGACGTGGCCGAGACAATTCGCACGCGTTTCCGCGTGAATGTGCAGGAGTGCATGCCGGTGGTGGAGTCGTACAAGCAAAGCGGCCGGTGCCACGTGGTGGACGCCAACCGCGACCGCGACGCCGTCTACGCGGAGACGAAGCACTTGTTTGAGCAGATGGGCGAGAAGCCGCTCAAGCCTTAAGCCTCGTATATATACACCTTCTTTTGCTGGGCGGCACCCGCCGCTTTTTTTGGGGTTTTCACCTCTCATCAGCGGAGCATTGTATTGGTTTTCTATCTGGTTGTTTTGTTTGGTTCATTGGCGGACAGCGCAGAGGTGTGCACTTCCGGGTGCCTGCCCTTCTCTCGGCGTGAACCGATTCCAAGCGATTCAGTTGAAGAAGGAGAACGCGACCATGAAGCCTTAAGAGGGGCTCCTTTTCTTTCTGATTTTCGTTGTTGTTATTCACGTGACGCGATGCGCAGGAAATATACGTATTAAGGCCCCGTGTGTATCGCATCGTTAAAAGGAATGTACTTCGCGAATGACATACGCACACGCATCACCCCCCCCCCCCAACGAAAAAAGGTGAAGGAAACAGTGTCGTCCTCAACTTGAAAAGCACGACGCATCCCGCCAAACGACGGAGGTTGCGGGCGAGGGTATTTGGCATTCGTCTCCGCTTACATGGTCAGCCTTTCTCTATTTCCTTTTTTATTTCTTTCTACGCGTTTGCACTTTCCACGATGTATCATCCCGTCACATCTCGTTGTTTCTCCGTCGTCTTCCTCTTATTCTCTCCACTTCACGCCGCTACATCATCACGCAATTTCCCGTCCCCTCGCCACCCGCGCCTGCAACAGCAAGAAGGGAAATTTTGTTCTCGTTCGCAGAAGAGCGCGCCATTATTATTATTACTGTTATTATTTTGTCTGGTATTGTTGTGTTGAGGTACTTCCATAAGTGCTCTTCTCACACACCTCACCTCCTCTCAAAATACATATATAATATATATCCCTCTTCGCCCCTCCGACCGTCGCAGCCATGGCTCGCCGTCCGTCTCGTTGCTACCGCTTCTGCAAGAACAAGCCGTACCCGAAGTCCCGCTTCTGCCGCGGTGTGCCGGACTCCAAGATTCGCAACTTCGACATCGGCCGCCGCCGCGCCACCGTCGATGAGTTCCCGGTGTGCATCCACGTGGTGTCTCGCGAGCTGGAGCAGATCGCGTCCGAGGCGCTGGAGGCTGCCCGCATTCAGGCCAACAAGTACATGACGAAGCGCGCCAACAAGGATGTGTTCCACATGCGCACCCGTGCCCACCCCTTCCACGTGCTCCGCATCAACAAGATGCTCTCCTGCGCCGGTGCCGATCGTCTGCAGACCGGTATGCGCGGTGCCTTCGGTAAGCCGAACGGTGTGTGCGCGCGCGTCCGCATTGGCCAGATCCTGCTGTCCATGCGCACCAAGGATGCGTACGTGCCGCAGGCCTACGAGGCCCTGCGCCGCGCCAAGATGAAGTTCCCCGGCCGCCAGATCATCGTGACGTCCAAGTACTGGGGCTTCACCGACATCCTGCGCACCGAGTACGAGGCACTGCGCGACGCCGGCAGGCTCGAGCAGCGCGGCATCCACTGCAAGCTCATCACCCCCAAGGGCAAGATCACCATGCGCAACGTGATGGCGTAAGAAGAGGATGAACCAGAGAGCAAAAGAAGGACGAGAGATCCAGGGGTCGAGGTAGGCTTCATGTACGATGCCTTCCTTGACCCCTTTTCTTTTTCACACTGCCTGACGTACGCTTGCGTTTCTTGTCTTCTTCTTCCGGGGCTTCTGCAGGTGGACGATGGCGAAGACCGTGCCCTGTCTCCCTTCACTCCCTCCTCTTCCGGCGGAGGCGTGGAGATGCGGCGTGGCGCGAAGCTCTTCTTACCCCACAAAGAAAGCGGCGAATCCACCTACTATTATTATTACCTAATTTCTCTTCTTCTTCTTTATTTTGTTTTTATTGTTATTACTTCTAAAAGAAAAAATGGTTCTTCTTTGTTCTTACGCATGTCGTTGGGTGGTGGGGAGCGGTCGGGCGATGTCGAGTCGCGGCGTGGCGAAGGCGCGCCCTGTGCGGTGCGAAGGGGTACCCTTTTTTTTTGTTGGCTGTTGCTTCTTTCCCCCCTTTTGCCGCCGCTTTTTAGGACTCTTCTCCAACTCCCACGCCGCAACACATGAAAAGGGACAAGTCGGGAGAATACGATTAAATACAACAACAAAGAAACATAGCGAAAAGGAAGCAGTGGAAAGCGAAATGCTTCGGTGCGCTGCGTGTGAAGGATGAGTCCGTTGAGGGAGGTCAAACCAAGAAAAGGGGGGAGCGGGAAACGGTGCAGCTTCGCAACAGCGGATTCCGTCTCTCTCTTTCTGCTTGTTTTTTTTTTTGCATCGCTGGTCTCCCCTTGATTCACACACATAGGTATCCATCCTCCTGCTCTCCAGCACGGCGTCACGGCGTACCCGAGTGTGCAACGTGGAGCAAAGGACAGACGCGTCTGCCTCGACGCAGCTCTCTGCGCAGCACAATTCCGGCGACTTAACCCGTGTCTTACCTCTCCTCTCCTTCTTCCCCCTCCCCTCTCTTTCTCCTCTTTCTGCTACATCATGTGTTTCGTCTACTTCATCCCTCTTCTACACGTACACATTTATACATGTATCTCACAGTTTTCATTCGGAATCGTCGCTGTGCGAAAGAGATAGAGAGAGCGCGCGCAAGGAGGGAAAGCACTGTACTTGGCGTCGCCCGACTTGTCTGTGCCTCTACACAGCTCCCTCGCCGCGTCTTTTATCGCTCTTGCCCACCACAACCGACGGCCGGCCGAGACTCTGAGTTTTTTCTTTCCTGTTTTTCCTTCTTTACCTTTTCACAGATTCTTCTTTTATTTACTATTATCTTTCGTTCTCCTAAACTGGTGTGTCCGTCAGTGTTTGCTGAGGTGGTTTGCGCTCGCACCGAGTTCGCATCGCCATATTGTTTTAATATACTGTTCTTGTTATTCGCCCCCCTTACTTTTCCTCCTCTTCCCCCCCCCCCCTACGTGTTTTGGTAGCAACGAATATAACCATTCACTGTTCACACTTACTTCTATTCTGTGAGGTCTGCTGATTGTTGGTGGTGGCTGTTCGGCGTTGTTCCCTCATCGAACATCTTTGCCGCCGTTGATCGCTGCGCAGCGTACGAGGCAGACAGCTCGTGAGGTAGGCAGAGGAGAAGAAGGGAAACGAAAGGGAACAAGGTCAGCAGTTAAGACACAAGGAAATAAGAGGCAATGAAATCCTCGTCGCATCAGCTGATGATGCTGCGCCGCGCCGTGTCCGCCGCGATGCTCCGCGCACCGCTCGCCAACTCCGCGACACACACCAACGCGGTCAACGTGCCGTCCTCTGCGCTGGGCGGGCCCGCGGCTACGGCTGCGCTGCACGGCCACCGTCGCTGGCAGTCCAGCGGAGGCGGCCCCTCCAAGGATCTTTACACCGTCCTCGGCGTCGCTCGCAACGCCACACCGGAGCAGATCAAATCGGCATACAAGAAGCGGGCCAAGGCGCTGCACCCCGACGTGAACCCGAGTCCCACCGCAGCGGAGGACTTCGCCGAGGCAAAGCAGGCCTACGAGACGCTCTCGGATCCGCAAAAGCGCAGCATGTACGACATGACGGGCAACGCGAACGCCGGCGCGGGTGGCCCCGGCGGCTTTAACCCTTTCGGCGGCGGCGCCAACCCGTTTGCGGCGGGGGGAAACCCCTTCGCAAACATGGCCGGCCAGGGCGGGCAGGGCGGCTTCTCCTTTAACGACTTCGAGGAGATCTTCCAGAAGATGAGCGGCAGCGGCAAGGACAAGACACGCAAGCCGCAGGGACCCGAGCCTGGGGCGGACATCCACTACAAACTGACGCTCTCGTTCCTCGAGGCGGTCAACGGGTGCCAGAAGGAGATCAGCTACAACACCATGCGGCGCTGCGGGGCCTGCACCGGCAGCGGCTTCCAGGACACCGGGTCCCGCACGAAGTGCCCCCACTGCGGGGGACGCGGCAAGAAGGTGATGTCGACGGGCTTCTTTCACATGCAGCAGGATTGCACGCACTGCGGCGGGACCGGCGAGCTGGGCCGCACGACGTGCACGCAATGCAGCGGCAAAGGCATCGTTAAAGATCGCAGTGTGCAGACCCTGCCGGTGCCGAAGGGGGTGGACAACAAGGAACGGCTGAAGGTGACCGGGAAGGGCGAGGCGGGGGTGCGCAACGGGCCGCCGGGCAACCTCTACATCGAAATATCAGTCGAGGAACACCCGGTGTTTCACCGCGAGGGCAGCGACATACACGTCATCACGCCGGTGACGCTGTCCACGGCGGTGCTGGGCGGCACCGTGCGGGTGCCAACCCTAACCGGCGAGGTGGAGACGCGGGTGCCGGTAGGGACGCAGCAGGGCGACAAGTTGGTGCTGCGCGGACGTGGGGTGCACCGACCCAACCAGAACAAGACGGGGGACTTCTACATTCACTTTGCGGTGATGCTGCCGAAGGAGCTGACGGAGGAGCAAAAGAAGGCGATCGCCGACTTTGCCAAGGATGAGAAGCCGCTGAACTTGAATGATACCCAGTTGCAGGAGCTGAAGGGCCGCTACCGCTCTTGGTTCTCGCCGTAGAGGAGACAACACATCCAAACTATATATAGACGGAAAGCAGGAGAGATCGGTGGGTTTCTTGACGGTGGCCCATCAGTCGTCGCGCCCCCTGTTCAGGAGAACTGCTGGTACGCGCCTCTACCTTTTATGTATTTTACGTGTGACGGTTTCCTCATGGCTAGGCTGCGGCGGCTGCGCGATGCGCGATGCGCGGTGCGCTCCTGTCCTCGTATTGTTGCCGTTGTTGATGACGATGATGGCTGTTGAGGGGGGAGTCTTTTTTGTTGTTTGGCGTTGATTGTTTTCACCTGTTTGGTTTTGTTTTCCGTTTCTCTCTACCCACTAATTAAAGTCGTTAAACCCCTCAATAGCGTAAAGAGTGGATTAGAGACAGCACACACTCTCTCTCTGGGTAGGCGAGCAGCGGGGGCGGTGAAGTCCGCTCCCCCTCCTGCGACCCAGCGCTGCGCTCTCTCGTAGCGTTACCGCTTCCCCCCCCCCCCTCCCCCTCCGCCTTTGCGTATTAGTGCTTTTGCAGGCTCTTCACCTGCGGCAGCGATTTGAGTGGCGTCTTCACGCTGTGCTCGACCGTCCCTCGCCACTCGCATTGCTGAGTGGTTTTTTCGTAGGTCCCTTTGAACTTGCTAGGGATGCCCTCCATCTCGTGAACCCTGCTGCTCCTGCGCCCTTTCCCTATCCGTCTACGTCCGTTCTTCTCTGTTTTTCGTTTTATCAATTGCTCCCCTCTCTGTTACATGCTTCGATCTGTTGATCTCTTCTGTTTTGTCTGTGTTCTCTTGGCACGCGTTCGGTTGACGCCCTCGCGCACTCCCCTTCCTCGCTCATTGAAGCTTCATACAGCCGCATTCTCTTGTGCTTACAATCACACCGAAGCCTGCATCGCCACCACTGCATTGGGTAGAGCTCTGCCCTTTCTAAAAAGCGTGCTTTATTTTTCTTTCTCTATTTTGCAGCTCATGCGAGCATCGCAAGAGCGAGAGCTTCCCCGCTTGACGATAGCTATTTGTTGGTTTCACCTGTTCGCGGCACCTCCGCTGACGTCACCCACACTTCCACCCCCCCCCCCGTCCTTCCCCGTGTAGTCCGTCGTTGTTTCAATAAACTCCTCTGTCTGTTACTATTGCCGCGGTCCAACGCGGCTGCTTCTTTGTTTTGCCGCCTTCCCGTGCGTTGTTTGTCTGTCACAAGTAATCGTGCTCGCCACACACACACACACACACACACACCGCGTGCCCTCCCCGCTTTACCTTTCCTCGACCGTACGTAGGAAAGGAAGAAAACCCCGAGAAGTGGAGAGTGAGGGCGACGGCAGAGCGCAATGGGCTTCGTCTTATCGTCCGGGGCGGCGCTCCGTCCCACGCCGCCCCCTTCGCCAGAGCCCCCAAGCAACGGACGAACCCTCTTCCACGAAGCGCTTTTCCTCAACAGCCAAAACGCTCTGGGCACGCAGAACCTCAACCAGGTGGTGCGCTCTGTATTCGATGTCATCTCAGCCGGTCCGCCAGCGGCATTGCCGTCGCCACCGAATCTGCGCTCCTCGTCTGGTCGGCGCGGCCCGCAAGTCTTTATGTCGAGCAGTGGGAACGCGGACGCGTTGTTCTTAATCGCCGCCCTCGGCCGCATGACGGAGCTGCTGCGGCAGATGGAGGAGCACGGGTCGCAGCGGCCGGCCGCGCCGGAGGTCGTCCGTTCTATCGCACGGTGCCTCCTGACGGCGAGGCTGGCACGCGCGTTGAGCTCGCTGCGGCACTCACCGGACAACTCCAGCTGCACCATCTGTTGCCGCACCTTCCATGAGATGTTGGCAGGCGAAGCCATCCTGGCCGAGCGCGACGAGGAGGAGAGTCAGTCGAAGTCCAGCGCAGCCGTCGGCGGCCTGCCAGACGTGCTGCTCTTCCCGTGCCACCACGCCTTCTGCTCCACCTGTGCGGAGCAGTGGCTTACGCAGTCCGACTTGTGTCCCAACTGCCGGCAGTCCGTTACAGCAGTGATGAAAGAGTCACCGCGTGGCGCAGTGCCGCAGTGGTGGCTGGACGCCACGCGCGATGATCCGTCGTCGTCGGAAGAGGCTGAAGAAAGCGCCCACACGGATACGCAATCGCAGTCGCAGCCGCAGGAGCAGTCGCAGTCGAAGCCGCAGCCGCAGGAGCAGGAGCACGAAGAGCAACAAGCCGACAGCGCGGCGGCCACGGTTGACGGCGAGAAGCAGGTAAAGCAGGAGGATGAGACGGGCGACGACGACGACGGCAGCCAATCTTCACGGAGGCAAACCGCCGAGTTACTGCCGTCTACCGCGGACGCCGGTGATGGCACGTCGCCTGTGCTGAAAAGCACGCGCCTCCAGCCACGCCTCTTGTCGGCGAGTTACCGTGCGTTGAGGGCGGGTGAGGAGGAGGTGGCAGAGCGGCCGCAGCAGCGCCGCCTGAGTGGGATGCCGCAAGGCGCGCGTACGCAGGGGCGGCGCTGGCAGAGCGACGCAGTGGCTGACCGAACGGACGGTGCGGGTGGCGTTGAGGCTCGCAACGCGGGGGTCATGGCGCTAGGCGGAACCCCGTCAGCGTCAGAGACAGCGCTCGAGGGATCACAGGAGGGAGACGCGTTTGTGGAGGAGGTGGGCCTTCCCAGCGCCGCACGATGGATGCCGCACACGCCGCCATCTCCTCCCTCGTAATGGAGGGGGGGGGTAGGGAAGGGTCAGCCCCGCCTCGCCCCATGCGGCGGACACACACCCAGTTGTGGCTCTTTGTATTTTATTTTATTGCTATTCCACCAGCTCAAAATCCCTTCCCACCTTTGTTCTGTTGTACTTCTCGAGCATAACCTCTCTGCTATTATTTATCATCATTTTTTAGCCGTGTACGGTGTTTCGGTACTTAGCAGCACTTATTTGTTACCCAGGAGGATATCCGCCCCTCTTTTTTATTTGTTTGTTTGGACTGAGGCGACACTCATGCCGCTATGTTTGTTTCCTGGATGTGTTTTGAACACGTCTCCGCGGTTGTGAGGGTCGCGGGTCTGCCTGAAATACAGAGATGTATCACCTACGTTCGAATCTTCCTCCAGTAAGTGCATCACGACACGCACCTCAAGCGCAACACCCACAGAAAAGTAATCAAAATTAAAAACGTACTTCCCGCTGTATTCGCTGCACGATCGTCGCAGCCATGTAATCCAGCTTTCGCCTTCTGTTCTTTCTCTTCGTCGATCTTCGTCAACGCACCCGCCTCGGGTCTTCATCATTCGTGCTGTGAAACTAAAAAAAAAACGAAGTCAAACGCCTATATTTTCTCTCTTTTTTCTTTCTGTCTTGCTGCGTTGACGCCTTCCGTCTACTGGCGGCGGCTTTTTATCTTCTTTTAACTGCCACGTCTCGCGCGGTTGGAGGACAGAGAGGAGACGCTGTCCGGCATGTATGCGGTAACATGACCTCCCGACGCAATTGTCATGATTTTTGTGTTTTTAAAATATTTTTGTTCTCTCTCAGCTGCTTTGGTATGGCTTTCTTTCTAATTCCTATCATTATTATGAGTATTACTTCTGTTACCGAGGAATGACGAAAGAGGAGGAGATGCATATATATGTTTACGCGTCTTCTTTATATATATATATATATGAGCACATCTACGGTGCACGCTCCGTGGCCTATTGATGGTCCGCGTTGTACGCCCGAGGCGTGTCGCACGCACAACACCGCATCGTTGTTGTCCTCTGTCCTCTGCACGCACGCTCCCTTGTAGGTGTGACGACGTGCACTGCTTCGGCTTCCACTTTGCGCCACCAACGTCTCGCACATATTTGTCTATTTATTTTTGAGGGGGTTCTCGCAAAACGTCACCGGTCCTTCTCCGCCTCCTCCTTCGATTAGTCGCCGCACAGCTGAAGTTCTGCTTCCCACACAGAGGCAGCTGCTCTCTCTCTCTCTTTCCTCCACTTGCCTCGGAGGTGTTATCGTATACGTTCTCCCTTCCTCGAGATCCTTCTCGCTCCGCAGCGGTGTGTGCCCCGCTGCTCACGTTTGGCCTTTCTTTTTTTCGGCCTCTCTCTCGTAGAAGTAGCAGCAGCTGTAAAAGCAGTCATCATAGCAACTGCCTCTTAGAGCCGTAAGAAGAAGGCGCACGCACACACACACTCTCTCCCACGCCACACGGTAACGTCTTTGCCACGAAGCGCTCTTCCTCCCTTTTCTCTGATTTTCTAATTATTTCTTTAGCTTGCCGTTTCTATCGAGAAGTGCCCTTCGTCGGTTATTTAGTTGTTGAAGACGAAATACACACGCAAATCAGAAACCAATAGTATATATTATCTCTTTTACCTAGCTACTTTGCTCACCATGTCCCTGTACGGTGCACGTGAGAATGGCGCCGACGAAATACTCGGGCCGGACTTGACCGGCATGGGCGGCAACTACCTCAACGAGAGCCACTGCCAGCGCTTCTGGAACCGGTTGATGACCTGTGTGCGGGAGAGTCAGGAGCTGGACGTGCTGTACGACTGCCGGAGCCGCATGATCGACCTGCGGGAGTGCATCGTGCGCCACAAGCAGTCGACGTGGGTCATGCGCGAGACGATGGCGACGCTGCGGCACGAGGACGAGTTCCGTAAGTGGGTGCGGGAGTACGATGAGGAGATGGGGCACCCGCCGCTGCTGGAGGCCGTCGCGAAGGTGCAGAAGAGAGTAGATGAAGCGGGCGGCGTGGATGTGTTGAACCCCACGGTGTTTAAGGATCCCGATCTGTACATCCCTCGTAAACAGAAGGTGTAGAATAATAACAACAATAGAAAGGAGCTGAAGAAGGAGGGATGAGCGGGCTCAGCTGTGCTGGGGGGGGGGGGATGTTGCCGTGCACGTGAAGAGAGAGAAAGGCGGTGATTGGACGGAGGGTCACGAGGAAAGTAAAAGACACATGCAAAGACGATGCGTGACGATGATTGGGCGGCGCACCGCTCTCTCTCTCTCTCTCCCCTCCCCCCATCTCGTATTGCCTTATGCGCAGTTGGTGTTTCTTATTTTTTTTATTCTTAGTTTATTTTTTGAGGGATTCTATCTCTCTCCGTACCTACGTCATGCCTATTCCCTATCGTCTGCTCATGACGTCTAAAAGAAGGAGATTGCGCGAGAACAAAAACAACGCGATGATGTGAGGTTGCGCGCGCACTATTATATATATATATATGTGTGTGTGTGTAATTTGTTTTGGTCTGAGTGTTGAAGTTAGATGTCGTGATTTACTCTTCAAAAGGAGCATGACGAGTGAGACAGCGCCAACTGTGTCGGATAAGTCCGTCTTCATTTTCTTTTTCCTACTCGTCCTTCGAGCAGAAAACGGCATTATTATTATTATTTATTTGCTTCCGATGCGGCATCGTACGATGGCGCAATTGTATGTTCTATTGTTGATGAAGCAGCGTATTTTTCTTCCTTGATATCCACATCTCTCTCCCTGTTCTCCCTCGTCACCCGCACACACACACGCTCATAACGCTGAACACGTACAGAAGCCACAATTGCATGCTGTTTCAACTGTCTTACCTGCGATAGAGTGCCATTTATTTTTTCCGTCCTCCGAAAGAAGAAAACTCCCCAAAAAGGCAAAACGAGGAGAATTGATAGTGGAGTTTCTGTGGAAATCAGCTAAGAGCGGAGGAAGCGAGTCCACCCTTCACACACGCACACAGTTGTAACAACAACAAAGACCCTACAGATCGCTGTTTCCATCTTCACGGATTCCGTCTATTGTTAGTATTGATATTCTTTTCATATCATTCGGCATTTTTTTTTGTTTGCTTGTGGTTGTTGTCGGCGATTTTCTTTTTCTTTTACTCTGCCAGACTTGCTTGTTGTTGGGCATCTCCAGCGAAACACACACAGATATCTCGGCTCGTCGAACACGCTGCAGCACCTCACTGCGCAATCGTTCACCGTTCCTTGTGAGACAAGGCAAGAATGTCGAACACGCAGTTTCAGCGGACGTGGCTGAGTCCGCGCACTACTGATCACTACAACTACCAACGCAATCCCGCGTTCATGATGGAAGAGCGCGTGCCGAACATGAGTACCGCAGAGGTGCCAACGGCAGCTGACATCGCCAACAACAGGGGGGTGCCGCCCATTGCCATCCCGTACATGACGCTTCAGAATCTTGATCGCCCCGACGGTGCCGGCAAGCGCATCATCGTGCCGATGGTGACCGGCTTCGAGTCCACGTTCCTCGCCAACTCCCTGCAGGGCCTCCTGTGCCTGCCGGGTTGTGAGTCGGTGTTTATGGGCGAGCCCGTCCGTACCGACACCGCCGCCGCCGCCGACTTGCAGAAGGACGGCGACGGCAGCGGCACTCCGAAGAACGAGGAGGGGCCGGGCGACAGCTCGGTGCGCAGCGCCGCCTCCGCTTCCCCGCCGCCGCCACCCCTGCCCACTTCCGGCGGTGCGCCGCTGGATGCAGGAGCCGCTGCAGCACCGCGCTCCCCCGGCTCCGGCGCCTCCTCCCCCCGCTCTCCCTCATCAGGTGGGTCGGACCTCAACTCCCTCGGCCCCTCCGGTGAGTTGGACGTCATGACCACGGAGGAGGCGGCCGACGGTGCGGCGGCGGTGGGACGTGGGGGGGAAGGCTGCGCGTACGGCGGACACGGCGGCGACAAGGGAGCCGGTGAGGGCGACCGCAGAAGTGCGCGGGTGCTGCGAGGTGGCATTCGCTGTCACGGCAGCGTGCGTGTGAAGACGGCCGTCTCCCACACCTACGCCGATTTCGTGCTGCAGCACCTCGACGATGGTGAGATACGGTTGAAGACGCCGGCGCCGCGCACCACCTCGGCCCAGACGGTGACCGACCAGCACCTCGACGAGATCGGGGAGCTAGAGACCCTGCGTGGGCAGACCCCAAACGTGCCGCGTTGTCTGGCCCCAGTGGCGCTGCCCGAGGAACGTCGTCCAGGACACACGTGGCGAAGCGGGGCGGCAGCGACGGCGCTGGAGCCTGACGGGCTGTCCTCCTCCTCTCCGAACTCCCCTCATCACTTCGCCACCGCTGCAGGGGCCTCGTCCGCGCACAACAACAACACAAATAACAATAGCAGCAACTCGTCGGTTGTGGCCCCGTCAAACGACGCAGATAAAATGCTGCTGACAACGTCAGAGCACAGCTGCTCCGACAACTCCCCAACGCCGAGCAGCGCAGACGGAGATGAAGACGCGGAGGGCGTGGAAGGCCCCAGCAGCAGCGAGGAGCGTGACGCGGGGATGGGCGGTGGGGCGCATCATCACGACGGCACAAGCGCCTCCTCGCACGCCCTCGCCGGGGAGACGCGGGTGGGACTCCACCACGGCGCACAGGACGGACGGCGCTTTACCTGTTTCGCGAGCAACAGCATTGCGAACATGCCAGAGTACCGCTTCCCCCGGCTGATAAGCGATGACTTGGTGGAGCTGACGGCGTTCATGGTGGCGCGCAGCTCGGTGCAGCCGGATGAAGCGGTCGATCTCGACCTCGCCACGCACCTTCTGGGCGACCCGTACACGGTGGCGCGGCTTCCAGTGGAGATGCGCACGGCACTAGTGAAGCGGGCTGCTCGACTGATGGAGGCCGCTGTGTTTCTTCAGATATAATCCTCTCCCCCAAAAAAAGCCGATGATCACGATTCAGACTCTGCTGCAAGTACTTATTTATCACTACACTTCTTACTATTATTATCATGCCTTGATGTTGTTGTTCCCTCTTTCCCTTTATTGATTGATACTGCTGGTCGGCGGTTTCATCTCGCTACTGTTTATATATAGTTTTCTATGTATGCGTGTGTGTGTGTGTGTGTGTCTGGCACCGATGCTGTCTGCGGTGCTGTTGGCTGTTTGTTGGAGCTTTCGTAGTCCCTCCCTTTGCCGTTTCCTTTTCCTCCTCCCTTTTCTTCTCAGATGGTGCGTTGCTGCCGCTGTCTGGTTTCGTGTTGTTTTTTATGATTTCTTTCTCGAGTGCTGCTTCACCGGCCAAAAGACGACGGTGCCGCCAAAACGGAATAAATCGCTTCGGTGCCGCAGATTGTGTAGCGGCGATTGAGACTGGATTTTTTTCTTTTCTCTTGCTGTGTTGTCGTTGCTCCTTACTGCAGACGTATGGGTCAGCCGATCATCGACGAAGGCGGGGCAGTGGTCGGCGCATGTGGATCGCGACGCTGGGATGAGAGGCATAGGCCATGGAGAGTGGGAAGAGATAGGAGGACCACAACCAGAAAGAGAAACACGAAGGTTAGCTTCATATAAAGATGAGCTTTTTTTTTTAAAGCCTGTTGTTACGTGTTCCCGCTATCCTTTTTTCACCTCGGCACGCGCACACACGCACACACACGCGCCGGGATCGTTGTGGCGACAATTACCCGGCATTCTGGTTTTCTTTTTTTCCTTGTCAGTTTCAGTGCCACCTGCTAACTGAGAGAGAAAGAAAAAGTAGCAGCAACAGCGTTAGGGTTGAAGAAACGCACGTGCGCATTGTGTGTGTGAGGGGAGGCGGGGGGGGGGGGACTTAGTCAACGTATATCTCCTGAGTTCTCTCTCGCTGTAGGCCTGCACAGCGTTGCGATCTCAGCGGTTTTTTAAGAGGGGGAGAGGATATGCACCTCAACGTGTGTGTGTGCGCTTCGTGTTCTTGCTACCGCGGCTTCCACCATCTCTTTTCTTTGATTGTGTGTGTTGAGATTTTACTGCTGCTGTTTTTTTCCTTTTTCATATTCAGACTTCGTCTGTTTGGATTACTGGCGCTTCGGATGTTCTTATAGTTTGTTAAGCTTCCCCTTTTTTCATGGGAGGGACGTGTACGCGGCGCTGGCGCATTTTCGTGTACGGGCAACGTCGTCGTGTTGATGCGTGTGGAGCACGACGTCGCACCCATCTAACGTGTTCCTCGGCGTCTCCGTGGAGGTATTATGCGGAAAGGCTACAGAAGAAGAAACCCCGAGAGGAAACGATGAAGGTGTGCCCGCCTCTGCGCGGAGGAGATGCGGCTGTGGTTGTGGTTGTTGTTGTGGTAGTTTGCTGATTTGAATTTTCCCCTTTTTTAATGCTTCTCTTTTGTATGCCAAGGCACCTCAAGGACGGTATTAGAAACGGTGAAGTGTTGTTGCGGGTGAGGTGAGCTGCGCAGAGAAAGGCCCCGCCGTCTCGGGTGCTTGCTGCTCCAATTCATGCTCCTCCGCTATTGACGTCTCCGGCGTTGCTGCAAAGGGGAGGGAGGGAGGGCGTTCATCTGCACCTTTGAAAACATTAAAGAAGAAAAGATCACTTCTGAATATTCAGAGGTCTTTCATTGCTCTTCCGTTATCATCTGTGCTTTGAAAGAAGAGTTTTCCTCCACGTATTGATTCATCTGCGCTTTGTCAAAACCGGAAGTGTGCTGCACCTCTACCTATCTATCCCTCTATACTCTCTCTTGTATTTCTATGTCTATTTTATACTTGCTTCAACACCGTTCGCAAGAGTAGGAAAAGTGAAGGTGTGTAGCGCCAAAGACGCCGCAACGCATCGAGCTCGCGCCTCAGCAATCCTATTTATCAGAAAATATATTTATAAACAAAAACAAACGGAGAGAACTGCTGTATATATAAGCAAGAGATGGGAGAACCGCTGGTTGTGTCCGTCTCGGCCAGCGCCGCGGGCAGCTCCGCCAAGGCGCTCAGCTACGTCGCCCTCCGCAGCCACGACGGGAAGCGCGTGATACTCCCGGTCGCCGCCGCGGCCGGATCTCGTGTTCTGCACGGCCTCTTTCAAGGCCTGAGCGTCATGCAGCTGCATCAGAGCGCCGCGGCTGGGGCGGAGACGGTGAGTGATGATGCGGTTCTTTCTGCGTCCGCACCGACCCCGCTCGATGCAACGTTGAAAGCGAAGTCCGAAGAGCTCACATCGGGCGCGCCGACCGCGGCGGAATCGTTGCCCGTCATCGAGGACGATGAAGACGGTGCGGGGGAGCCGTACGTCCAAGAAGAAGGCAAAAGGCCGGCGGAGGAGGGGGGCGGGGCAGCGTTTTGCAGCTACGCCGCCGCCTTCCCCGCCAACGTGGTGTGTCAGCCGCCCTCCGCGTTTTCGTCCTCTCTCTTCTTGGCATCCAGCAATTTGTTAGAGGTGCCGATACGCGCGCTGGAGTCGACCACGCTGGCCCGCGTTGCGGAGTTTCTGGTGGTGAAGTGCACGCTGGCGAGTCATCCGCACTACCTGCACGAGGCGGACGTCTTCGGCGACCTCGACCGGACGTCGGAGCGAGATCAGCTAACGGCGATGCAGGTGCTGCTGGGTGCGGATTTCCTCAACTGCTAATTGAGCCGCCCCCTACAACGGTCCTGCGTATCTGGTGTATTCTTATTATTATTAGACCCTCCCCCTCGCCCGCCTCATGAAACTGCTGTTCGGGGTGTTGTTGGTGTTGATGGTCCGTTGTGTTTGCGGGCGTGCATTGGGCGGCTTGCTGCTTCAATATATATATTTCCGTTCTCCAGATAACAGATACTTTGGTTGATGTAATCGCTGTTTGCCTTTTCTTTCATTCGCTCCGGAGGCCGCCTCGGGGGAAAGAAATGTTCTTCTCTCTTCCGAAGGTGTTTCTTCACTCTTCTCTCTTCATCATTATTGCTACTGCAGCCATCGCGTCGTGCCGCCTTCGTCGCTGTGCTGCACGCCGCACCGTCGTGTATTATTGTTACTATTCTTCTTATGAAAAGAGGTACAGTACGCACCCCAGCAAGGTGTATTTCTTTGAGATCTTCAAACAGAGGAAGGGGTGACGACGCGCTTTCTTCTCATTGTTGCTGTTGGCACCGCGTCCAGCATGAGACACACTGTTTGCTGGTCATCTTTTGTCTTAACGGGATGAGGTGAACAGTTACCTGCGCAGCTGCGTCTCTCGGGACCAGTCAGTGCTTGACAGTGTGTACGTGTGCATGTTCGATGCATGATGTGCTGCCGCGCGAGCCAACCGTTCCCCTTCGCTTTAATCCTCTCTGTGAGTCCGCTCCCTCGTATCTTATCTTGGCTTTTTCCTTCATCTACCACGCATGTTGCACCGCACACACACTCGTGTTGTTTGACTTGATTATTATCATTATCTAGTTCAATTCACTGTGGAGTGGAGAAGTTCGAGGCACACTGCCAGGCCACTCGCCGCCCCTCCTACCTAACGTTTATATATATTGTTATTTTGGCTACAGGTGCGCGGTAGAAGAGAAGGAGTTAAACAGCCCGGTGCCCTTCACCATCACGTCGTACACGTTCTCCCTCGTGTGCCAGTTGCCCGTCTGTCCGAGTACCACGGCGTGCCGCCGCCTCTCTTCCTACGCATTGAGCGAAAACGCCTGACGATCGTTGCCAGAAGAAACCACCAACAACAAAAGAGAAAACAACCTTTGTATCTCTAGATATTTTGTTCTTTTCATTATTTCCTTCGTGTTTCGTCATCATTTTTCGGTGCCTTCCCTCTTCTTCCTCCTGCTGCTTTGCTGTTCGTTTTGTTTTTGAATTTGGCGAACATGTCGGCTAGGGCGGGTAACTCGATTCGGAACTCGCGCTCGCCTGCCGCCAGCACCGCGCGGCGCGACGTTGGCGCGGCGGGTCAGCGGGACCTCAACACGGCAGCGGCAGATGACCTGGGCGGCGCACAGACGTACACCCCTCACCGATCGCAGCCGCTGCCGAGCGAGCCAGCCCCACGACCGCCGTTCTCCGCGGTCCATCGCCGTCCAACAAGCCACAGTCGCAACATTCCCTTTCACTCCCGCTCGGCGCGGACGGTGCTGCCGCCTGCCGTGCTTCCACGACCGCAACACGGGGCTTCTCAACCGCCCACGTCGCAGCAGCCGCAGCAGCAGTTGTTTGCGGGTGGCCCTCTCCGGGCCAACTCACATAACGTCACCTCTCATCCGCAGCAGCGTCCCTCCCCGCGGCAGGCTTCAACGCAGACAACAACGAACTCTTCGAACCACACGTCCGCGAGTGACGTGGTGGTGCCGTCCTCGGCGCCGGTCTCCTACGCGCTGCCGCGGGATCGGGGCGTGTACCCGGCAGCTCCGCGTGGGGTGGCGCGTTCTTCTCCATCGCTGCACCGCGTCCACGCGGATGGCTCCCACGACAACAGCAACGAGCTCAGCAGCCGCTACTCCAACAACACGTCGGCCGTGCGGGGGAGTGGAAGTCGGCAAGAGAGCAGCCGCGGTTCTCCGTCGCGCCCGCCGCAGCCGTCTTCGGAGGTGAACGGACGGGCGCCTCCTCCGACACCGCCACCACCGCAACGGCAGCCGTGGCCGCGCGCACAGCCGTCGCCGCCGCGTGTACATGGGCGCCCCGGCGGGGTTTACGTGGAGCTGATGGATTCCATTCCAAGCGCGAACGCGTATGCCCCTCCGCGTCCGCCTCCACAGCAGCAGCTGCAACTACAGGGAAGACAGGACTCTCCTGCACAGCGGTACTCCTCCTCACCGCCGGCCGCGTCGACTGCGCTCGCACTGCGTCCGTCGCCGCGCCCGGGCTACAACCGCGGACGGTCGGGGGAGGACAGCCAAGACAGGGGCACCAGCACAGACGACCTGGATGCCTACGCCTACGCCTACGCAGCACCACCGCGACACACGCAGCAGCAGCAGCAGTACAACCCTGTTAACTACCAAGCCGAAGTGCCAGCCCAATTCCACGGGGTGACTCACTATAATCCACCTCAGCACCAGCAGCAGCAGCCAGCAAGACCCGCCAATTACTACGCATTGGCCCCGTCCCTGCGACTGGCACAGCACCGTCACGTCCGTCGTATTGTGGCAGGTGAAGTGGACCGCGTGCCGCCGCAGTGGCGCTATCAAATTCTGCTGCAGCAGCACGGCCGAGTAGAGGAGGAGGACGCGTCGTACGAGGCCCCACCACCGCGCAACGACGAACGTCGCCCGCCGCACTCACAGCAATATCGACTGCCACCACCACCGCCGCCACAACAGCAGTACCAGCAGCAGCTGCCTCCACCTCGCCAGATGCATAATGCAGCGCAGCGGCTCAATCTGGACAACAGCGCCAGCGTTCTGAGCAACGCCAGCAGCACCCCCAGCAGTCGTACGCGTCAGGTCTTCCGCCATCGACAGCGCCAGCAGCAGCAGCAGCAGCGGCAACAGCGGCAACAACCCTTTATGACGGGCGCACTGCCGGCTGGCAGCCCATACGGTGCGACACCCACCTACACCGTGGTGATGCCGCGGACGCGTCGGGTGCCGGCTGGACTGTACGCCCCCTTCACCCTCCCCCCTCCCCCGCGGAGGCAGCAGAGCCATCAACAGCACCAGCAATCAGGACTCCCGCCGCCACCGCAGTTGGGGGAGGCTGAAGAAGACATGGGCGAGGCGGTGACCGAGGTGGAGCCGACGGTGGAGGAGCCATACCTCGTTCTGGATGAAGCCGGCGGTCGCGTGGTAGAGTACGAGCCTGAGCTTCCACGCCAGCAGCAGCAGCAGCGGCAGCAACAGAAGCACGCGGAGCGTCCCGCGTCCCCCGTGCGGGATGCCGCTCCGGTGGTCCCGGTCGCCGCGTCGAACGCACCGCCGCGGGCGCCGATGGTGCGTCACGTTGTTCACTACTACCCACATCCTCAACATCAGCAGCAACAGTCGCCTCCGCAAAACGCGTACAACGTACTGACGCCATCTGAGGAGACGTACGAAGGAAGCTTAGACAGCCACGACGACGATGCGGGGGCGGCAACGCTGCCTGCTAACGCAGTGGCACCGCAGCGCCGACCGCCGCCGCCACCGCCGCCGCTGCAGAAGCAGCAGCAGAGTCCCAAAGCACCAAAAGACCGTCTACACGATCGCACCCCCTCCGGAGGCTCTCAACAGGCCCCACCCCCCACGCTGCCACCGCCGCGGCCGCTGCGCTCGGACGACAGCTTCAAACCTCCTCAGCTGGAGGATGGTGAGGGAGTGCGCCGGGAACACCTTCCCAGCACCACGGAAGATCGTCCCTACCGCCTCTACCCAACACGTCAGGAAGCTCACGCCGGTGTGGACGGTCCTCTTCCGCCGCCGCCGGCGCAGGCGATCTCCGAGCACCCGTCCAGCGCGACGCTCGCCGCCCCCCTGCAGCCGAGTTATCGTCCGGATGGGCGAGCTCTGATGTTAGTGCAGGAGCTGCAGAGCGATCGACTATTAGCGGACGGAGAGGGAGAGGAGGAGAAGGCGACGCGGAAGGAAGAAGAAGCGCCACCGCGCGCAGCACACCCGCCACGGCAGCGCCATCGCGGTTCGCCGCCGGCAGGTCGTCGGCCACGCGGACAGCAGTCCTCACCGTTAGCCAAACAGCAGCAGCAGCAGCAACAGCCGGAGCCACCTCTTCCGCCGCCGTCTCCCCCACCCACTCCTCCTGCTCCAGCTCCAGCAGATACGAAACATGAAGAAAAGGCCGAAGAACAACCGCACGAGCAGCACTCCATCGTGAAGGACTCAAATGGCAGTCCGAGCCCCGACATCGACTCCACCGTCGACCCGGAAGACCTCATGGCACAACAGGAAGCCAAAAAGCTGGCAGAGGAGCTGGTGCGACGCTCGCTGCTGCCCCCCACGCCGTATGTGCCTGCGCAGCCGCTGAACGCGCCGGCATCCTTCATCGCCGACAGCGAGGCGGAAGACAGCGGGGACTTCGCGACGCAGATCCAGCACCTCCGCCACAACGCCATCAACGCCACCAACGTCGCGGTGCAGGGCGGCGGTCGTAACGTCCATGCTGCCGAGAGCCCACCACCGGTGGTGGGAGGGGCAATGCATACGGAGGATGCAGCCACGCCATCGGCAAGAGAGGAAACAACTGCGCCACAACAACACGCGGACCGCCGGCGAGACAGTGCACAGGAAAGCAAGGAGGTGGTGGCCGAACCGATAATGGCGTACCGCGACAGCGCGACGTCGTCTTCCGACGATGATGCGGAGGAGGAGGAGGAAGACGCGGTGGCCACGGCACACGCCAGCCCGATGAGCGCCGACAGCGCCGCAGCGCACTCAGTTCACGTGGCACGAGGCAAGGAGGCGCCGACGGAAGACGCGCCTGCGAGACAGGACTCCTTCGAGGGACTGAGCCCGTCTTCTCCGGAGAAGACACCAGCGGCAGCGGATGATAACAACAGCGAAGAAGGCAACAACTCGCTGCGAGGGCCCCGCGGAGAGTCACGCAGCGACGCGACGAAAGAAGAGGACGACGTCGATGCGAACCCGCCTTGCGATGGCGACGCCGATGATCATCAGCAACAACAGCCTGCAGTGGAGGAACTCTCGATTCATGAACAGCAGCAGCGGCAAGTCGCAGAAGGTGAAAGTGCCGAAGAGCCCTCCGCGGCTGCGGCGGTGGCGGTCAACGAGGAAGGCGAAGCTGACGTGGGTCTGTCACCGCTGGAGATGGGCGAGCTCTACGGCTACGTTGACCCGCTCGAGGAAGCCGCCATGGACGCCGCCTACATGCTCGACACGCTGGAGTATCAGTACGTCACCGTGAACGAGGTGACCGGTGAGGAAATGGAGGACCTCGTGCACGTCGTGGAGCTGAACCGATACAATCGCGTTGGGGAGCCACGGTACTTTGAGCCGAAAGGGCTGTTCTCGGATGTGCTGCCACTACTGCGGTACCCGACTGTAACTTCAGACGAGGCGGCCGCGTCGGACGAAAATGGCGCCGCCACCGCGCTCACGTACATGCCACTGACCGAGGCCGCGTACCAGAATCTGTGCGCCGTGATTTGGCTCTCGCGCCTGCACAGCGAGGACGCGGCACGCCTGCTCGCGGTCGCGCAAGGTCCGTCGCCGCCTCGAGCCACGCACAGCGGCAACGCAGACGCAGACGCAGACGCTGATCTGTTTTGTTTCACCTCAGCCTGTCCGACGTACTACTTCGACCACCCCTCTGCCAACCTGCTGGAGCAGCTCGACAGCCTCGTGGCGCAGCACGTGCAGTCCGCCACGGACGACGCCTGCGCGCAGTCCCGCGAATCCCTTCCTACCGTGTGCGCACGCCTCGCGGATCGCAACAACCTGTCGTGCCTCCCACCCGCCGTGTGGCAGCAACGGCAGCAGCAGCAGCAGCAGCAGTCGTCGTCCACACAGCTCAACATCGCGTCGTTTGCGGACCACGTGACGGAGGTGCTGCTGACCGCCACGGTGCCGCAGGAGGCTGCACGTCGGCAGGCTGTCCGTCGCCGCGCAACGAGCGAAGCGGAGCTGCACGCGCAGCAGACGTGGTCGCTCTTCCTCGGTGCGCTGCCGTGGAACTACGATGAGGCGGTGGAGGTCGAGACGCTGCCTGCGATGCCCACCGCGGCGGCTCGCCTCTCCTACGCCTTCGCGTACAAGGCACGCATACGCAACTTAGAAGGCGGTCTCGGTGCGCTGACCTTCTCCGCGCTGAGCGCGCAGGTTCCGGATGCGGCGGTGGTGGACAGCCTCCTCATGCTAGAGAAGCTGCGGCTGGCGTTGCTCTACAGCTACAAGAACGTCGCCGCGTGTTGTGCGCTGCGGCAGAGGGCCGTGAAGGAGCAGGGCGTCGCGACGTCATCGTCGGCGAGGCGTAACAGCCAGGCAGACGGACACGTTGGCAGCCATAACAATGCTGAATGGAACAGCCCGGTCTTCTCTGCGTATTTGCATCTGTGGGAGGACAGCCGGAACACCGAGGCGGCGCTGGTGGCCGCGGAGGGAGGGGCGGCCAACGGCGGTGGTGGTGGCGATGATGACGACGACGTGGTCGACCTCTACAGCGTCGCGGTGCAACTCAACTGCTTCTTCCCGACCAAGACGGAGCGCGGCATCAATCAGCTCTGCGCGGCCATCATTGAAGACTTAATTGCGATGGACGCCGTGCTGGTGCCGGAGGAGGTGCACACGCCGGAGGGAGCAGTGCTGACGGACCGCACCGCGATTGTGGACGCGCTCGTGGTGGAGGGGGCGCAGGCGATGCGACACATCATTACCACCCTCAGCGAACTCAGCTACACCAGCGCCGTCTCGACGGACGACTATGTTGACGGCGGCGGCCACGTCGACGTGGCCGCCGTGCGAGCGGCGATGGAGAGCTACCTCGTCTTGCTCGACCCTGGTGTGATGTTCTTCCTGAGCAGCCCCGTTCCTGTCGATGACCTCTTCCGCTACGTGCGCTGCGACGGCCCGCCGTCGATGCTGCCCCACACGCTGGGTCGCAAAAGCACCTTCGTCGAGGTGGTACGGCTGCAGCACCTCGCGGAGACAATCCAGTACGCGATGGAGATGCAGGACGCGATCCTCATTGCGAGCCAGTACAACCACCTCGTCGCGGTGCATCGCAAGCGCGTTCAGCAGCAGCGGCACAACACCCGAGCCACGCCGCGCTCACTGGCGGAGGAGCTGCAGATGGACGGTGTGGTGGTCAGGCAGAGCATGGACTTGATCCTCAACGCGGCGCCACTCCTTCCCCGCGACCCCCACCCAACGGACGCGTCGTTACTGGCGGAGTTGGCGGATGGCAACGATGCGGCCGGCACTCGTCCTGCCCAACACCCCGCAGGAGACGACGAAGAGGATGAAGATGTTATGCTGGGACAAGAGGCGGAGGCGGAGGGGAAGGGGGAGGAGGTGCTACTGCGCGCCATCCTCATCGCCCTCTGCTGCGCGGACCCGACGAAGCCTGTCAACGAGGTGCAGGAATACCTGCGCCACCTCCTCGTCCTCTATGCCGAGGTCCGTGACGCGCACAACCGGCCCATCGAGAGCACCGACCCGCTGCAAGTCGCCCACGTCCGCGCGGCAGCGGCGGAGCTGACGATGGTGGATTGGTTCGGGCAGACGGCGGCGGACGGTACGCGGCTGCCGGGCACGGCGCCGGCGCGGTGCGATGAAGTTCGCGTGAACGCCGAGGAGCTTGCGGCGCTGTGCCCGCGTGTGCTGGGCCGACGGGTGGGGCCGGCCAGCACCGCCGTTGCCGACGCCGCGGCCGTCATCTCCGCCTCGGCGGTGGCGCTGGCTAAGGACGCAGCGAGGCACGATAGCGAAGACTCCGTGGTGATGGCGAACACGACTTCACGCCCGCCGCTGGCTCAGTGAAAAGGAGGCTGTGAACAAAGAAAGAAAAACACGTTCCCTCTCATCACGGTGATAGCGGGGGGGAAGGGCGGGGATGGCGCGGTCGTGCTGCATCGACGGCTTTGCCGTTTTTTTGTTGTTGATATCCGAGGACCACGCCGTACTTAAGTGTTTTGCACGTCCGCTTCCTCCTCTGTTCTTATGTTTGTTATGGTGGTTTTCTTCCTGTTGCACACACACGTTTGTGTCTCTGTGTTGATTGTGTCGACTGGGGGGGGGGTGTTTGATCCAGCGCATTGTCATTTTATCTTCCATTCGACTACGTTGCTCATTTCTTTGTTTTTTTGCTGTTGATGTTGCTGTTGAATCGTAGAACTTCGTTGTCTGTGCAGCGGTTTCCTCATCGTTTCCTTTTATTATTATTTCTCTTAGTATTCGGTGTGTATGTGAGTGTGTGTGTGTTGGTCTTCTTTGTAATTCCCTTAATGTTGTTACTTTCCTTCTTCTTCTTCATTGTGGCGTACGGTGATGTGCGCACACCAACAAGCAAACACGCACGCACGCACGTGAACTCGACGCGTTTCTTTCTCTCTTTCTTTCTCTCTCTTTCTCTCTC